TTTTTTTTTTTTTTTTTTTTTTTTGCTATAGGGCGCAAGAGCTCGCCAGAAAGAAAGAAATCACCCCCCAGGAAGGATGGCCATATCCCTTCTCCTCTTGGGATCTTGGGGAGAACGCACATGCTAAAAGAAATCAGCCCCCAGGGAGGATGACCACGCTGCAATCCCTTCTCCTCTTGGGATCCTGGGCACGAACGCACATGCGCCTAGCATGAGTTTAAGCCACGAAAGCACATGCGCCTGGCATGAGTTTAAGCCACCGGGTCCGGGACTCGAACCACGGTCATCTACATGGGAGTCCGGTGACATAGCCATTACGCTAACTGCTGGTCCCCCTACTTTTTGACATCAGGTTCAGAGAAGAGCAATCGTTGGCCATTATACAGAGCATGGCCTACAAGGGTGGAATGTGTATTATGGTCTTCATTTTAGTAGGGTTCTAGCTAGATTAGGTAACTAGGTACAAATGTAAAGAAGGTGGAGGAGATAAAGTACACGAGCAAATAATTACCCAAACATAATTTCATTTGGCTCTGAAATGCACTGTACGTCCTATTAGCAGCAGATTTATCTTTATAATTCTGTTTTGCTCACACTATGCTCAAAATAGATTTCAAGGAGCACACACTGACCACAGAGGCTGCTAGATCTGGGGTTTGGAGTCTGAAAACGTGTTTGCTGTACGTGACTACCTCGATTGACAATTAAGATAGCAGAGGCAATAAGGTAGTAGCTCCTAAAACGCAGTACTGTGCTTCCAATATGCTTCCTTCAACTGAACTCCCTGAACACAATCCACCTAAACAGCCGGCTGTGTTAAGGAGGATGACAGCTCTAGTAACTTCCTCTTCCTCACCAACCTCCTCAGCTCGGCGAGTATACGCCTTCCCCCCTAGGAGGCAGGATAAAACAATTTCAAACGCACAAAATTGATTCAATACCACCAGCACCATAGGCCAGGGAAGCCAGTTTCCCTTTCTTTCCCCGCCCCTCCAAGGAAAAAAAAATTGTTTAAAAAAATACATTTCTCCAACAATTAAGTACTTGCAACAAAAAAACGAAAACAAATACTCAGTCCTTCCACACAGCCTTAGGGGAGGGATGAAAAAAAGGGATCTCGACACCGCGTATTCCTGAGATTTACTGCTTTGATTACTTTCCCTCGGGTCTCCCCGCGGGCCCGGGGAAGGCTTGTAGCCGAAACGCCAAAACAAGCCTTCGCCTCTCAGGAGACGCGCAGGCGGCCGGGGCCCCGGCATTCGGCACCTCCCGCCTCCGGCCCTCACCTGCCCAGGCCCGAGGCAGCGCCCTCGGCCCGCGCGGGCTCGGCGTCCCGGGAGGCGTCC